GAATGTGACCCCATAATCCCCGTGCAACCCCATAACCCCATTCCCAACCCATATCCCCAATGAGACCCAACAACCCCAATATGACCCCATAACCCAATGCCACCCCATAACCCAATGTGACCCCATAACCCCAGTGTGAACCCATAACCCAATGTGACCCCATAACCCAATGTGACCCCATGAACCCCATTTCCACCCATAACCCCAATATGACCCCATAACACCAATGCTACCCCATAACCCAGTGTGACCCCATAACTGCAATATGACCCCATAACCCCAATGGGACCCCATAACCCAATGCCACACCATAACCCAATGCCACCCCATAACCCCAATGGGACCCAAACCCCAATGGGACCCCAAAACCCAATGCCACCCCATAACCTCAATGGGACCCAAAACCCAATGGGACCCCATAACTCCAATGGAACCCAAAACCCCATGGGACCCCATAGTCCTAAAGTCACCCCATAACCCCAATTTGACCCCATAACCCCATTGGGAACCCATAAGCCCAGTGTGACCCCATAACCCCAATGGAATCCCATATCCTTAATGCCACCCCATAACCCCAGTGTGACCCCATAACCCCAATATGACCCCATAGCCCAATGTGACCCTATAACCCCAATATGACCCCATAAGCCAATGTGACCCCATAACCCCAATAGGACCCCAAAACCCCAAAGGGACCCCAAAACCCCAATGCCACCCCATAACTCCAATGGGACCCCATAACCCAATGCCACCCCATAACCCCAATGTGTCCCAAAACCCCAGTGCCACACCATAACTCCATTGGGACCCAAAACCCCAATGGGACCCCATAACCCCAATGGGAACCCAAACCCCAATGGGATCCCAAAACCCAATGCCACCCCATAATTCCAATAGGACCCAAAACCCCAAAGGGTCCCCATAACCCAATGCCACCCCATAACCCCAATGGGACCCAAAACCCCAATAGGAACCCAAAACTCCAATGGGACCCCATAACCCCAATGGGACCCAAAACCCCAATGGGACCCCAAAACCCCAATGAGACCCCATAACCCGTGTGACTCCATAACCCCAATGCCACCCCATAACCCCAATATGATCCCATAACCACAGTATGACCCCATAACCCCCGTGTGACCTCATAACCCAATGCCACCCCATAACCCAATATGACCTCATAACCCCAATATGACCCCATAACCCCAAAGCCACCCCATAACCCCAATATGACTCCATAACCCCAATGTGACCACATAACCCCATTCCCACCCACAACCCCAATATGACCCCATAACCCCAATGTGACCCTATAACCCCATTCCCACCCACAACCCCAATATGACGCCATAACCCCAAGATGACCCCATAACCCAATGTGACCCCATAACCCAAGTGTGACCCCATAACCCAAGTGTGACCCCATAACCCAATGTGACCCCATAACCCCAATGCCACCCCCTAACCCCAGTTTGACCTCATACCCCCCCGTGCGACCCCATAACTCCATTCCCACTCCACAACC